GTCAAATAATGTCATATTTGCATTAAAAATGACATAACTGAGTGAATGACACTTAATGACAGTTGTCATAAACATGCATAAAACCTCCTTCATATTCGTGACATGTGTCATGTCATGATTATGAAGGTGTCATGTCAGTCTTATGCACACCCCTTCAAGTAAAGTGTTACCGAAAAGTTATGTGTACACACAAATACCAAAATACCATGGGAAAAATTAGCTAAGTAGGAAGTTATTAAAAGACTATTTTTGTAACCTATAAGGAGAAAAGGCTGTTATTACAAGAAGTATTGTTGAAATTTTGTTTAGTGATTGATGACAAACTCTGTTGTGTGTGTTTGTGTGTTTAGGTGGGTGATGTGTCTGGTAAGAAGCCTCAGAGGCTGGTCACACAGTTTCACTTCACCAGCTGGCCTGATTTTGGGGTTCCTTTCACTCCCATTGGCATGCTGAAGTTCCTTAAGAAGGTCAAGACCTATAATCCACAGTATGCTGGACCCATAGTGGTTCACTGCAGGTAAAGAGCTTTATTATCAAGATTTCTACAAAAGTCTCAAGCCGCACAAATGTTTTCAAAATGTTTCTTGAGCAACAAATCAGCATATTTAAATGATTTCTGAAGGATTATGTGACACTGAAGAATAAAGGCTGCTTCAAAATTCAGCTTTTTCATCACTGAAATAAATTACATTTTCAAAATATACTAAAATAGAAAAAGTAATTTTGAATTGTAATAATATTTCACAATTTGACTGTATCAAATAAATGATTTTTTTAATCAAATAAATGCAGCCTTGGTGAGCATAAGAGACTTTCAAAAATATTTTAAAAAATAAACAAAAAATGTAAAGACCCCAAACTTTTGAACAGTAGTACGTGTGAGCAGTTTTTCCGAAGGTTTGTGATTTCCAGTTACTGATTTTCATCTGTTCATCTCAGTGCGGGTGTCGGCAGGACAGGGACCTTCATCGTGATCGATGCTATGCTGGACATGATGGGGGCGGAGAGAAAGGTCGACGTCTTCGGATTTGTCACACGGATCAGAGCCCAGCGCTGTCAAATGGTCCAGACCGATGTGAGTTTATACAAAACCTCTCATTAAAGTCATAATACAGCTGTATTAGGTATTTAGTCTCAAAATGCTCATCTCCCACCCTCCCTTTCTCCCTACAGATGCAGTATGTGTTTATATTCCAAGCTTTGCTAGAGCACTACCTGTATGGGGACACAGAGTTAGAAGTGACGTCTCTGGAGTCTCACCTAAATAAGCTGTATGCTCCTTTACCTGGAGCTGGCTGTGGAGGACTGGAGGCAGAGTTTAAGGTAGCACAAACAGGTTTTTTTTTTTTTTTCTTGCTTTTTGGATTTTTGGAAATTATATTGTTCTGGGACCATGTTGTTTTTCTTATGTTCTATTTTAATTATGATATTTTTCTCTCTTTTAGAAACTTACCTCCATTAAAATCCAGAATGACAAGATGAGAACAGGGAACTTGCCTGCCAACATGAAGAAAAACCGTGTTTTGCAAATCATTCCATGTGAGTTGTGTATCAACGTTTAATAATCAGATTGTGAATTGTGAAAATATATTTTGATTAATCAAAAACATGTTACCGTTAATATGTTAGAGGTCAGTAACACACACACACACACACATATATGTATATATATACATATACAGGGTGCGAAATGCCGGGGGGGATGGGGGGGATCCCTGAGGCATCCCTGCCTCTGCTGAATTATTTTTATCCCCGGTGGGGATAAAAACATCCCGCAAACCCACTCCGACGTACCGATTTGAATCAAATGATTCGTGATACGCGATCCGATTGGAGTGCTTCGAAACAATGAATCATTTTGCGACGCAATGGTTTAACTGATTCAAAAAGTTTCAAAAAGCTTCGTTGTGTTCTTTGCTCGCTTTCTCTATATAATTTATTAGTTGTTTGAAAAACCGTGGAAATGAAATCATTCCAATTAATAGGCCTAACGTACAATGTTTTTATTAAACTGTCATTACGATAAATACAGTTTCAGTCGTATTAAAAACATTTCATAAAAAGTTTTCAAAAGCATCCCCCCCTCTGGTTTTTTCACAAATCGCACCCTGTATACATATATATATGTATATGAGCCTTGGTGAGCATAAGAGACTTTCAAAAATATTTAAAAAAATAAACAAAAAATGTAAAGACCCCAAACTTTTGAACAGTAGTACGTGTGAGCAGTTTTTCCGAAGGTTTGTGATTTCCAGTTACTGATTTTCATCTGTTCATCTCAGTGCGGGTGTCGGCAGGACAGGGACCTTCATCGTGATCGATGCTATGCTGGACATGATGGGGGCGGAGAGAAAGGTCGACGTCTTCGGATTTGTCACACGGATCAGAGCCCAGCGCTGTCAAATGGTCCAGACCGATGTGAGTTTATACAAAACCTCTCATTAAAGTCATAATACAGCTGTATTAGGTATTTAGTCTCAAAATGCTCATCTCCCACCCTCCCTTTCTCCCTACAGATGCAGTATGTGTTTATATTCCAAGCTTTGCTAGAGCACTACTTGTATGGGGACACAGAGTTAGAAGTGACGTCTCTGGAGTCTCACCTAAATAAGCTGTATGCTCCTTTACCTGGAGCTGGCTGTGGAGGACTGGAGGCAGAGTTTAAGGTAGCACAAACAGGTTTTTTTTTTTTTTTCTTGCTTTTTGGATTTTTGGAAATTATATTGTTCTGGGACCATGTTGTTTTTCTTATGTTCTATTTTAATTATGATATTTTTCTCTCTTTTAGAAACTTACCTCCATTAAAATCCAGAATGACAAGATGAGAACAGGGAACTTGCCTGCCAACATGAAGAAAAATCGTGTTTTGCAAATCATTCCATGTGAGTTGTGTATCAACGTTTAATAATCAGATTGTGAATTGTGAAAATATATTTTGATTAATCAAAAACATGTTACCGTTAATATGTTAGAGGTCAGTAACACACACACACACACACATATATGTATATATATACATATACAGGGTGCGAAATGCCGGGGGGGATGGGGGGGATCCCTGAGGCATCCCTGCCTCTGCTGAATTATTTTTATCCCCGGTGGGGATAAAAACATCCCGCAAACCCACTCCGACGTACCGATTTGAATCAAATGATTCGTGATACGCGATCCGATTGGAGTGCTTCGAAACAATGAATCATTTTGCGACGCAATGGTTTAACTGATTCAAAAAGTTTCAAAAAGCTTCGTTGTGTTCTTTGCTCGCTTTCTCTATATAAACATTGTTAGGAAAAAAAAAAACATTTCACCCCACCTGTTGTGACCAAAAATGAAATCTGTCTCTTCCTCACTCTCTGCAGGAGAAGTGTGCTCAGTATTGGTCTAGTGATGGTGTGATGGTTTGTGGGGACATGTCTATTGAGTTGAAGAGGGAGGAGGAAAGTGAAAGCTACACTGTTAGGGACCTTCTCGTCACCAATAACAGAGTGAGTCCACTTCAGAGCATCTCCTGAAAGAGATTTATGTGTCTTTTATCACTGTATTTTAATGTTTGCCATTGTTGTAATTGCCATTCTCCTTTTACTTTCTCTCTGCAGGAAAATAAGTCTCGTGCTGTGAGGCAGTTTCATTTCCACGGCTGGCCAGAGGTGGGCATCCCATCTGACGGGAAGGGTATGATCAACATCATCGCTGCAGTTCAGAAACAGCAGCAGCAGTCTGGAAACCACCCAATCACTGTGCACTGCAGGTAAGCCACACCTACTCCTCTAGCCAATCAGGAGCCCGAAACATGAAACTTCATTTTGCATCATTTGTATTAATATATTTGTATATTAATATATATTCATATTGTAATATATTTTGTTCTTATGACAACAGATTTTTTTTTAATTCTTTTATTTATTCCAAATGCAAAACCTATTTTTACTCTCATTTGCTGCTTTGTGTGGGTTAATTTTGGATTGCTAAATTGCAATCCAAAATTAAATAAATGTAATTAAATTAATTGCAATTCGGAAGTTTGGGGTTGGTACAATTTTTAAATGTTTTTGAAAGAAGTCTCTTATGCTTACCAAGGCTGCATTTATTTGATCATGAATACAGTAAAAACAGTAATATTGTGAAATATTTAAAGTTCAGTAGAACAGCATTTATTTGAAGTGGAACCTTTCAACTTTTTTTGAAATGGAAACACAAATGTTTTTTCTGTCACTTCGATCAATTCAATGTGCCCTTGTTGAATAGTGAAAAGTATTGATTTATTATGATCATTTGTTAAATCTTACTGACCCTTTTGAAAAGTAGTGTATTTTTTAAATAAAAACAAATCAGGAAATAACAAGTTATTTAATTATTTTATGGTTGTTATAGCAGTATACTACTCAGATTATTACATAAAGAGTTATTCAACCTTACCATAAATCTTCTAGTCTGGATACAGGACATATTGGTTAGACAGGAATGCCAACTTTAATAGGTCTCACTGGTTTGGCAGCTTAAGTAAGGTTTAGTGGTTTTGTAATTCTGGAAGGCATCCATGGGTGCTTGGTACGACTTAACCAAAACCTGTCCATAATTACATCTCCAAAGCACTCGGTAATGATGAAACGGATAGATTTGCTGTGTCCAGTGGGATTTCAGGGTCAGCCAATTAAGGAAGGTAGAAGCAGACTCATTAAAATCCACAGAGCGGTGGGTAATTGGTGTTTGTGTGTTAACAGTGCCGGAGCAGGGCGCACGGGGACATTCTGTGCTCTGAGCACGGTCCTGGAGCGGGTGAAGGCGGAGGGCATTCTGGACGTTTTTCAGACGGTGAAGAGTCTAAGACTACAGAGACCGCACATGGTGCAGACACTGGTGAGAAAACACGTCATTCACGACGCAATGTTGACCTACTGAATTTAACAAAGTGCAGTTTAATTGTTTTTGAACGACTGTTGTATTTGCCAGAGACTTAAAACTAGAGCTGCACTAAGAGAAAATTGTGATAAAAAATTGCAATTGTAATTGAAAATGTGAGTGAAAAGAAAAACGTTTCAGGTTTGCTGTACTTGTTTATAGGGCTGCACAATTTGGCCAAAATGTTGTTGTTATATATCAATATGAGTCTTGACTATAATAATTATAATAAATCATTATTATTTTGATTATTATTATTATTACTACTACTAATTAAAGGGGTCATATGATGTTGCTAAAAATAACATTATTTTGTGTATTTGGTGTAATGAAATGTGTTTATGCAGTTTAAGGTTCACAAAACACATTATTTCCCACATACTGTACATTATTGTTTCTCCTCTATGCCCCGCCTTTCTGAAACGCATCGGTCTGAAAAGCGAGGTGTGCTCTGATTGGCCAGCTATCCAGTGCATTGTGATTGG